TACATGTGTCTCGGATTTTGTTGATCATTGAAAATTATGTGCCATATCAATGTGACATAATGTTTACAAAAAATAATAGAGTTTGTTACAATTTAATTTGATAAGGCTTTTTGGACTTATTGAAAAATAATGTTTTTATTTTGATACTCGAGATTTTTCTGCAATATTTAACTTTAAACTATCCAAAAAAATTGTAAAATTTGTTACCAAAAAATATCCCTAAGATTATCGATAATATATTGTGTGTAAATTACTATGAAGTGTGTTACGAAAAACTAATATTTTAAATGATTTGTTATCAAAATCCGAGATTTGTTATCACAATCAGATCCAATTTGTTAATAAAATCCGATATTTGGTATCAAAATAAGATCAAATTTGTTACCAAAATCCGGGATTTGTTAAAAAAAAACCGATCAAAATTTTTACCAAAATCCAATTAAATTGGTTGACATTAATTTTTTTATTTTGAAGATTATGTGACTTATCAAAGTGACAAAATATTTACCAAAATTAATGGAGTTTGTTACAATTTAATTTGGTAAGGCTTTTTGGATTGATTTAAAAATAATATTTTTATTTTGATATGTATCATTTATCAAATCTCGAAATTTTTTCTGCAATATTTAACTCCAAACAATCCGAAAAAATAGTGAAATTTGTTAGTAAAAAAAATCCCAAAGATTATTAACAATATATTGTGTGTAAATAACTATGAAGTGTGTTACCAAAAAAACCGATATTTTAAAAGATTTGTTATCAAAATTCGAGATTTGTTACCACAATTCGAGATTTGTTATCACGATCAGATCAAATTTGTTAACAAAATCCGAGATTTGTTATCAAAATAAGATCAAATTTGTTACTAAAATCCAAGATTAGTTATCAAAATCCGATCAAGTTTGTTACCGAAATTCGATTAAATTTGCTGACATGTGGTGCTCATTGATATTGCTTATATTAGTTAGTCAACAATTTATTTTTTTATTTTGAATATTATATGCATATCAATATGACATAATGTTTACCAAAATTAATGGAGTTTGTTACAACTTAATTTGGTAAGGCTTTTTGGATTGATTGAAAAATAATATTTAACTCCAAACAATCCGAAGAAATTGTGAAATTTGTTACGAAAAAAAATCTCAAGATTATCGGCAATATATTATGTATAAATAAGTATGAAGTGTGTTACCAATAAAACCGATATTTTAAAAGATTTGTTATCAAAATTCGAGATTTGTTATCACAATCATATCAAATTCGTTAACAAAATCTGAGATTTGTTATCAAAATAAGATTAAATTTGTTACCAAAATTCGAGATTTGTTATCAAATCCGATTAAATTTGTTGACATGTGGGATCAATTGATATTGCTTATATTAATAAATCAACAATTAAATTTTTATTTTGAAGATTATGTGTCATATCAATGTGACATAATGTTTACCAAAATTAATGGAGTTTGTTACAATTTAATTTGGTAAGGCTTTTTGAATTGATTGAAAAATAATATTTTTATTTTGATATGTATCATTTATCAACTCTCGAGATTTTTTCAGCAATATTTAACTCCAAACAATCGAAAAATTGTGAGATTTGTTACCAAAAGAAATCCCAAAGATTATCGGCAATATATTGTGTGTAAGTAACTATGAATTGTGTTAAAAAAACTGATATCTTAAAAGATTTGTTATCAAAATCCGAGATTTGTTATCACAATCAGATCAAATTTGTTAACAAAATCCGAGATTTGTCATCAAAATAAGATCAAATTTGTTACCAAAATCCGAGATTTGTTATCAAAATCCGAACAGATTTGTTACCAAAATTCGATTAAATTGGTAGACATGTGGAGCCCATTGATATTGCTTATATTAGTAAGTCAACAATTAATTTTTTAAGTCAAATTTACTATTTTTGTATTTTTCCAACAACCTCTCTATGTTACTATAGATTTGTAACTTAAATATAAATTAAAATTTTAAATATAAAAATAAAATTTAAAAAAAAAAGTTAACAACATTATTCAACATTGTTGGTTGTATCTAGTATGGAGCTATTATTTAGAATAATGTCATACACTATAAAATTAATGATAAAAATATATATATTTATATATTATACATATAAAATAAATAAAAAATTATATGTTAATTAAACCGATTCGACAGGTTCGACCGCTGGTCCGACCAGTGAACTATTAAATCAGTAGCTTCACCGGTTCGGTTTTCAGAATCATTGTATTTATACTACTCCCAAAACACACACTTCTTTCACAAACATTTAATGAGCTCAACCGCAAGGTCGCGGACATCCCAATGGAAATTGGTGTGGAGGCTTCATCATGAATATTGGCTTTACGACGATTACGGGAGCGGAATTATGGGGCCTCTTCCAAGGCTTGGCTCTCGCATGGAACCTTGGCTACAGAAAAATCATAGCGTCGGTGGATAGTCAGACAGCTATTCAACTTGTACGTAAGCAAAAAGTTGACAGTGGCATGCACGACAGCTTATTGCGGGGAATTCGTGAGTTGATCGGGCAGAACTGGGAGGTAGAGCTAGTACATGCGTGAAGAGAGTCTAACTTCGCAGCCGATTATTTGGCGTCTCTAGCGTCTACGAGCCGTGGTGGATTCCATCAGTTAGACGTACCACCAAATGGGGTACTACCGTGGCTACACCATGACCATGTTGGAATTGCATATCCACGTAATGTAATAGTCTAAGATTTTGTTAGGCGGTTTGCCTCCTTCTTTGTACCAAAAAAAAAGACCCAAAACATCAGTATAGTAGTTTTTTTTTTTTTTCAATTGAGACTTTTACAAAAGATAAAATAACACATAGGTACATCCAATCTAATAGTAGATGAACAAAAAATCTAAAGGAAAGTCAAAAAACAATTGATAAGATTACTCCATCATTTACAAATCCCTTTTTATTTCTATTATACTAACTTTCTTGAAAAGTAAGATTACTCCATCATTTAAAAATCCCTTTTATTTGCATCATTTACAAATCCCTTTTTATTGCTATTATACTTTCTTGAAAAGAGTAGGCTTCTGCTCGGATGTCGCGATAGGGAATGTTTATGAATGACTAATTTCTGTATTTTTTTTTTTTCCATTGATTTCTAAATTTTTTTTTTTTTATGGATCATTTATATTTATAGTTTTATTTTAGTAATCGTATTTTGACAAAAAAATTGAAAAAATAAAAAATAAAAGTGTAGTAAAGTTGTAAAAGAGCTAAAATGATTCACTTATAATTTTACACCAGCCTTATACCTTAGATAACTGCACTAGTGGTCGCCATGCCAACTTTATAATTTACAAAATCATCCCAACTGAATAATACACTTCATAGTTCAATAAATTACCCAAATTGCATTTCATAGCCTATATAATGGCCTCACCTTCAAACGCACCTCTATGGCTGATCGAGTGCAAGATAGAAAGGCTCTGCGGCCAACATAAGTAAATCTAATAAAAAAATCGCACAAGATTGCATACATCCACTGAAGATTTTTGCCACCGCTCGAGTAGACAAAATTCCATCTCTGCCCTGCCTCTAGCAGATCTGAAACGACATTGTAATAAACGGTGAGGGTAGAAGGAGGATTTGTAGCCGGAGAAGAGGGGGCCAATGAGGAAATTGGGGGCTGATTTTGAAAAAGTAACAATAGAGAGTAAGATTTCTGCTGGAGAGTTGAGGAGCGCTGGTGATGAGAGTCGTGGCGCGCGGGTGAAAATGAACAAAGATATTACGGAAGTGAATACTTAATTAGATTGTTAAATATGAAATCATGTTTCATATAATTGGAATAAGAAAAAATATGTTGTCTTTAAGGCAATAAACTTTTAACTCAAAACGTGCAGAAGGTAATTTTTCCTTCTTTATAATTTCTCTGGAGCTTTTCTTAAATATTATTTTCTTGAACTTACAAAACTCGTGCAAAAAAAGCATCGGAGCAATTTCAGCCGACCTTTTCCCCAATTCCACAGAAACCCTAAATCGGAGCAATTTCTGCCTTCCCTCAGCAGGGCCTTCGGGCCACCATGACGGCGGCCTTCACCGTGCTGTATGGCTAGCTTCCAGAGAACCGTCGGATGTGGCGGCGGCCTCTTCTTCGAGCGACGCGACGGGTTCTTCCTTGTTTTCGCCTCCTTCTAGGTTGTCAAGGTAAGATGTGGTCCGGCGATTCCTCGTCGTCTAGGCGGCGGCAGGCTTCCGATGAGGCTGTGCGAGGCGGTTGTGGCTCCAATCCTCTCCTTGGTGGTGGTCGGGGCCGAGATTGGGCGGTTCCACTCTCCTCTCTTCTTCCGTTCTTCTCCGCCATTGGGCTGGTTGGGTTGCAGTGGAGGAGTCGGGTCGGGTCGGATCTTGTGTCCTGGGCCCGGGTCGTCGGGATTTGGGAGGTGGAGTTTGTAGTGTTTTCTCCGGTCGCGGGTATATGGGTTGTCTACCTGGGCGAGGGTCACGGTCCTTTAGTCTTGAACCTGGTTAGGCGATTTATCTGCAGTTTCTGGCTTTGAGACTTGGACTAGGTCTCTGTCCGTATGGGTGACCGCCCGTAGGTGTCGTCGTCATTGGTTGGTGTTCTGTTTGGTTTAGCTGCTGTGGGAAGGGCCATAATTTATTTATTTTGTTGTGTTTGTGTTCGTTATTTTCTTGAACTTACAAAACTCGTGCAAAAAAAGCATCCTGAGTGTGCTATTCAGGTCCTAGCCAAATCCAACGCCAATAGAACAGTAAACCAATCAAAGATACGGATTTTGGAAACCAAAGCTATTTGAATATCAAACCCACATCCTATAATATATAGTGAGCAACGTAGATTTTCACAATGTTATGCCTATTCATTGGTCAGCTAGTTGGACATTCTGCACACAAGTTGTATGCCTATTCATTGACAATTTCTATAGCCAATCAAACAAAGCCTAAGGCAAATTTCTTTTTAATAAAGCTCAAATAAAAGTGCTTCATAAATATTTCCTTCAAACAATGCAGTTATAAGCAAACAAGCTGAGCATAAGCAAAATAATTAAGGTAAACATGGTCAACCTGAGCACACACCATCACAACATTAGAAAATCCAAATATTCCCTTGCCCCACAGGAAACATTCAATCGTTCACGCACTCATAAGACTACCCATCAAACAAAAATGAACAACGAACCAAAACCTTAAAAGATACGTTGTGGCTTTCCCATTGTGCTCTTTAAGTACAAACACCTCACCTGATATCAACAAGAAAAGATAGAACATTAAGAGAAGTCATAAGATGGGAACATATAGTTATTACCACTAAAAGTCAAATCATGTACTTACATTCTGCCAATTCTTTTTCAGAAGAGAAACAAGGAAGTTGACACTCATTTGCACATTTTGGAAGATCTGCTTCTCCTCCATGGCGAGGTTTCCAACAGCAACGCCCATGCAGAGCACCTTCTTCAACTGAAACTTCACCATGGCCTTTGTTTCATTCACCTTTGACTCAAGTGATTCCTGGTGAGTCACGAGAGTGGGGAACTTGCCTGCAAATCAACAAAAATATTAAGGGAAGAAAAGAAGCAATGAACAACTTACATTCATCACTATATCAAAAGAAGTGATTAACAACTTAAATTCATCACAATATCATCACAACAATCTTAGCTAGTCTATGCAAGTCGTGTACATGAAATCCATTATAAAACCCCAACACAAAGAGATCTTTTAAGGGCTAAGATGAATTAGACAAACATGACATGTTTATTTTATCAACAGCTGGAAAATGCATCAGAGAGATGACGTACATAAAGTATATATTTCACTCAGCATTCATAAAATAATAAAAAAAAATCATCTAACTGGCATTAGCCATTAGCCAGAAGTACTTGCCAGCCTTGTTAAGACCAGGTCCCAAGAGACGGGGAATCTGCTTGATAACGGCTTCTGAGGCTAAGAAAGCATGGTACTTTTTAGCAAGCTTCTTCACTAGCTTCTTGTTTTTGTTCAACTTCTTCAAGGCCTCGACATCCATTGACTCCAGCCCGATCTTCTCTGCCTGCAAAAACAGTAGCACATCACATTAACAGGCCAATTGATCAAACCTAAGCGAGCTATGAAAAATACAACGATGACAGCTACAAGCGTTGAGAACCGCAAATTTTCAATACGCGCCACATATCGCAAACCTTTCCATCAAGAGCATTATCCAACTAAGCATTATTGAAACATTCCTCAGATAAGATACTTTTAGAAACGTGTATAAATCTATTACAGTATGAGATAACTGCATGAAATGCTATTGCTGACCCCCAAGTTTAACAAAATAAGAAATCGTATTATTTACTGTGAGAAATGCAGAGAAAATTAAAACACAAGGGATATGATGCATTTACTATTCCACTATGCTAAAACACAAGGGATATGATGCATTTACTATTCCATTATTTAGATAGGACTTTGACTTTGAACAATTGCCTTCATATTATGAGTTTCTGAAAGAATTAATTTCAGTTTCTAGACTTGTTGCGAATGGTTTTTCTGTTGTTTTCGATAGTAAAGTTGTTGTTCATTATGACAAGAATTTTATTTGTGATGGTTCATTGGTTTTGAAATTTATCTGTTCTAGAAACAAAGTCTCCCACAGTGCAACATAAGAAAATTAATAATTCATCATCTACACTACATAAGAGGAAATAACCTTAAGAAAATGAATCAAACATATCTTTGGAATCTTAGACTTGGTCTTATAAACCTAAGGAGGATTCAAAGGTTGATAGCAGATGGGCACTTGGGGTCATTAGAAGTCGAGGCTTACCCCGCCAGTAAGTCCTGCTTAGAAGGCGAAATGACTAGTTTTTATTTGGTTTGATTTTTAACTATAGTTAATTTTGAAAAAATATAGTATGGTTAGTTGTTATATAAAAAATAATACTTAAATAAAATAATTAAAGGTGATTTGATGTAAAGTAGGAGAAAAATGATCGGAAGTGATAGTTAGTTAAAATTATGTGAGTGGATGAATAGTGAATTAAAGTTGATGGAATGTGTAAGAATGATTGGTTGATATTATTTAATTATATTGATAATATTGAGGATAGTTGAGTTGAGTTAAAGTTTAGCTAAATTTGAGTTTTGATTGGTTTTTTNCAATCACCCCCTAAACAACCTTTGAAGACTATGGGGCATAGATCCAATGACTTGTCAGTAGTGATTCATTTTGATTTGTGTTGAACCTATGTCCTGCCTATCAAAAGTATCATGTAATATTCCACCTTAAAAATGTTAGAGATTCATTAAAAATCTAAAAGACTTACCCTCACCACAATCAACATATAATTTGGCATTTGAATTGATTTCAGAAAGAACCTTTGGAGTTTGGACATTCTTATATTCAAGTTTAGTTTTTCCATTGGAACAAGTTTATGGAAATTAAATTCAGCAATAAGATTATCACTAAAATCATCATTTCAATGCGGATTTTTCCAATATAAGTTTTTTTTTTTATTTTGCATCAAACTTAAACATTATTCTTCTTCACAACCAGCTTTTAACACTTAACCCTATTATTCAGCCAGTTGGCATGTGTGTGGGAACATTAAATCAGCTGGAGCAAAAAACAGATGAAAGCCATGTAAAACCCAAACCTACTGACAATACTATTATTATTAATCCTCGAAACCGTGTAATCCACTCGCTGAATATCACCACCACCACCGCCCTGTAACCCGATATCGTAGACAGGCGTCATATTGGGATAGAATAGACCGTAATGCCTCTCGGTCTCCGGGCCGGGCTTCAAGTCCTCTTCAAAGAGCGCAAATATGTAAACGTCTAATGGGTAAGACGGCCTCAGGGGAGTCCCCTGTTTCTCCTCCACCCGTTTCAGCAGATTCCCATTGTACAACCTCGCGTTCTCCAACGTGGCCCCTCTTCTTATGGATCCGCCTGAAGGCCATCCAGTCTCGGAATGATAGACGTGCATTGCCTTGAAGCCCGAAGCTTCTTGGGCTGAGTAAACAGCGTCCGTCTGTGCATACAACATATTGTCATAATGCAAGTTGGTGATGGGATCTGTCTGGCCTGGGTTGGGCTCGAAAAGCACGTACGCCAACGACACGTTCTCTGGGTCGTCCCTGTACGCAAAGTAAGGGTTCACGTTGATAAAAAACGGGGACTCCGTTTCGGAGAGGAACCCTAATATGCCCACGAGGTAGTCCAGGAGCTCGGGCTTGAAGGTGCCCAACGAGGGGGGAAATGAAACATCCATTATCCCGTACGAGTGTGCCGTGCTCATGTAGATTTGCTGGCTCAGGCTAAGATCCGCAAGGGCTTTTTGGACATTTTTCATGGCGGGCAGAAGGGAAAATCATCATCTTGATGTCGTTACTAGTGAGGACCTCCTTGCCGATTGTTATAATCTTGATTTTGGTTTGGTTGGTGTAGGGGGCCACGTTCTGTTGGACCCAATTCTGGGCTTGGGCCGGGTCGGTGAAGTTCTCAATGTACTTGTTTTCGAGCCCAATTATGAGTTCGACGCTTGTGTTGGCGAATGCAGAGAGGACTTCGGGGTCGGCATCGTAGATTCTGACACGGGTTATGTTGAGGGAGATGATGAAGGATGCCACACGTGATGGGGTTGGGAGGTTGTCAGCTATCCGACCGTAGTCTATTCCTATCCGGAAGCTGTGGGTGCCGGTGATCAATGAACCTGGATGGAATGGAGACAGTGGTGGGTAAATTAAAGAGATATATCATGATTTGATTTGAGTTTCTACGAATATTTAGTATATTAATTTATATAATTATTATTTTTTATTTTATAATTACTGTACATTTTATGTATAAAAATTAAAAAAATTGATATATTTTGAAGAATAGAATAT